TGAATAAGAGTGGTGAGAGCAGACATCCTTGCTTTGTTCCCAACTTTCATTTTTCACCATTAAGTATAATGTTATCTCTAGGTTTTTGTAGATACTCTTTATCAAATTAAGGAAATTCCCTACTATTCCTATTTTTATGAGAGTTTTCGTCAAGTGTGGATGTTAAGAGCCAGCCCTGATGGCCTAGTGGTTAAAGTTCAGCACTCTCCGCTTCAGCAGCCCTGGTTTGGTTCCTGGTTACAGAACCACACCACCTGTCTGTCAGTAGCCATGCTGTGGTGGCAGCTCACATAGAAGAACTAGAAGGACTTACAACTAGAATATACAAGTATGTACTGGGGCTTTGGCAAGGAAGAAAAAAGAGGAAGATTGGCAACAAATGTTAGCTCAGGGCAAATCTTTCCCAGCAAAAAAAAAAAACAGATGTTGAATTTTGTCAACTGCTATTTATACGTTGATTGATACGTGATTTTATTCTTGAGGCCTGTTAATATGATGGATTACATAGATTTTTCAAATATTGAACCAGTCTGGCGTCCCTGGAATAAATCCCACTTAGTCATAGTGAATAATCCTTTTTATATATTGCTGAGTTGTATTTGCCAATATTTCGTTAAGGATTTTTGCATCTATTTTTGTGATGGATATTGGTGAGTAATTGTGGGATTTTTTCTTTTTTTGTGTATAGTCTTTGTCTGATTTTAGTATCAGAGTAATATTAGAGTAATATTAGCTTTATGAAATGAATTGAGAAGTATTCCCTCCTCTTCTATTTTCTAGAAGAGTTTGTATAGAACTAGTTAATGCTTTCTTTAGATGTTTGTTAGAATTCCTCATGAAACCATCTGGGCCTGGAGATTTCTTTTTGGGGAGTTTTAAAATTATGAATTCAATTTCTTTAATAGTTTAGAGCTATTCAAATTATTAATTTCATATTAAGGGAGTTGTGGTTAGTTTGTGTTTTTTGAGGAATTGATCCATTTCATTTAAGCTGTCAATTTTATGTATATAGAGTTGTTTGTAGTTATTCTTTTATTTTCCTTTTAAAATCTGCAGTCTGTAGCAATCCTTAGTGATATGCCCTGTTTCATTCCTGATATTAGTAATTTGTGTCTCCTCTCTTTTTAACTTTGTCAGTCTTGCTAAAGGTTTGTCAATTTTATTGATATTTTCAAAAAACCAACTCTTGGTTCCATTGATTTCTCTATTTTTCTGTCTTCAATTTCATTGGTTTCTGCTCTTTGTTTTTTCCTTCCTTCTTCCTTTGGGTTTATTATTCTCTTTTTTTCCCCTAGGTTCTTGAGGTAGGAGCTTAGATTATTGATTTAAGACTTTTCCTGTTTTCTACTATATGCATTTAGTGCTATAAATTTCCCTCTCAACACTGCCTTAGCTGTGTCCCCCAAATTTTGGTATGTTGTCTTTTCATTTTCATTCATTCAGTATAGTTTTTATTTTTTTTTTTATTTTTTTTTTTTAAAGATTTTATTTATTTTATTTTTTC